CGAGAAAAGATCTCATAATTACGAGAAAAGATCTCATAATTACGAGAAAAGATCTCATAATTATGAGATAAGATGTCATAATTACGAGATCCTGATTACCTGTGGATTTTGAGCAGGTAATGGTCCTGGCGTATATGTGTGTAATGCCGACCGCATGAGTGCCCAGAACAAGCTGTATAATGTTAATTCACCAGAGTTAAATAAAGTTGTGACCCAGGGTTGAAACAGGAGGAAGTGTGTGCTCTTTGTGTACATACAGGATGTAACTTAAGCATTTCAGAGGTACTTAAAGCCGTAGCATCCCGTACTGCAGGGAGAGAGCGACTTCCAGTATGTCAGAGTGGGCTTTTTGCTTGAACAACCGCAAGGAAGATACCTGCATAACGTCGACATACTATTATCCATACAGCATCATACCATCTCTGTAACGTTTTGTTCGGACTGTATTGAATCAGCCTGAAGTATTCATTTGGTGAAACTGGAAGCACCACTACCAGCTAAATGACGGTGCTATGTTGAAGCTGTCGAAGTTGAATTAAACAGAACACTCAAACCGATGTGCAGGTGAATTGATTAAGAAACCCACGTTAATAGATACAACACCCTCCATTTCCCAATATTTCATACTTAAGAGGAAAWAAAAGCCTATAAAATGTGATAGTGCCGTTGTTTACTTTTCATGTAATGTAAATCAGCTGACTCTCTTTAACTTATCTCGTAATTATGAGATCTTTTCTCGTAATTATGAGATAAGATCTCGTAATTATGAGATCCTGATCTCGTAATTATCAGATCAGAAGTCCTGAATTTTTTTTATTTGGTGAATGCAATGCTTTTCCGTATCGATCAAACTTTAGCTCAATATGTGTAAAACTGCCAGTTTTGTTTTTGATGATGTTGTGGAGTCCATCTTGAATCAGKTTGAATCCAAATGTTAACCGGTTGTTAATGCACAGACAGCAATTCATTTATACTTACTCATAAGACAGTGTATTAGGATCGTTTTGCAGATGAAAAAAATGAGTAAAAATCTCTACACTCTCCCTCTGACCATGCTTAATTTGTTCATAAAATGCATAAAAATGGCTGAAATAGCTGAATATTGAAGTTTCACAAATCGAATATATGTTCCACAAATACACTTGGTTTTAAATATTCTGCAATCAGTGTAGATTAATCCAGTCCAGGTTACAAGTGTCTGTGTGTTTTAGTTTGTGTTTTAGTTTTTAAACTACAGTAGTCTTCCCTATGTCTGCCTCGTGTCTTGGGGCTTGGGTCTCCGGCCCTCCACAGTCACCATTAAATATTCCATTGGAGAAATCTTGTATAT